GGCTGTCTGCGGGACGGGCCGCGCCGCTTTTAACGCCCGAGTTGCTCTACGCGCCCCAGGGACGAGGGAGGCCAAAAAGAGGGGAGAAGGAAAGCTGTGTGAAAGGACAAAGGTCGAGGGACGTCCCTAGCGCCATTTCACGCCACCGCGGCCAAGGGAAGCACTACAGCACCTCAGAACGCAGCACTGGCAGCAACCTGTGCTCGCTGCCTCCACTGCTGCTCTGCCTCGTCGAGGTTGGTACCTGGGCCTCGGCATCATGCAGCGCCAGCACACCGGTCTTCGGACCCATGCCGTGTCCTATATTGTGATTCATAGGAAGGTGAAGACCCAACTCTTACCAGCTTACAGTGGCGTTAATGCAAGAAAACACCATTTTCCCTTTCAGTTTATACTGTAGGTAGTAGCAGAAATAGTACCAATACCCAAAACTGTTTCCTGAATATGATTAAAAGCGTGTGTGTTTGGATGCTGATAACCCCTGCTTTCCAGACCATGATGTCCTGCCTGTCTGTCAGCGCTTACCCACGTGATGCCTTCAGCCGCATAGTGGTGGTCTCCCGTGGCAGATCTGCACTTCTGGTGGCAGGACCGAGGCTTTTGAGTGGAAATTAAGACTTATACCAGAATTAAAACCATATGAAACTGAATTTCCTGGTGTTTGATGTGTGATCACTGAGACAACTCTTGCAAGTGTTTACAGGAAAACTGAGACTACACCCACTTCACACAACCATCGTAGAGGTGAAATACACAGTTGTGTGTCACAACTCTGGGAGAATCCTGAACAATAACAAAAAAAGTTGTATTTCAGCAGGCATTGAAGTGACATCCATACCCACTAACAATATGCCATGATCACTGTTATCAAGTTCACAGACATTGTTAGGTATTTGAATTGCTTGCTTCCCATAAACAGGGCAGAAGTTTCCCATTACTGCTGTTAATGCTCTCTTTTCTAAAACATGGATTGAGCTTGAACTCAAGTTAGAATAGGACCAGCAGTAGCTCTATAGAAAGATACTACATCATTTTGTGTCACTGCGTCACTATTACATAGCCAATTTGATGAAACATTCAAACTAATTTTCAGTTTGCAAGATGATTTTTCATTTTTTTCTAATGAAATAGCATATATGCTGTAAATACAAAAAAGCAGCTTTGAATCCTCTCCCTTTGAACACAATCAGAAATTATGTCAAAGATGAAAATGGTGTCTTGTTCAGAACACAGACACTGAAAATATGTTAAGCAGCACAGATAGCACATTGGGAATGACAAAAACCTCAGTACTGCTGCTACTTGGCAATCAGAAAGCTGTTTTTCTGGTTTAACAGGCTCTGTCTCCATTAGGTCCCATCCTTGCAGACAGCGTGATTTTTCACTCCCATAATGACTTCAATCAGAAGATCTCAAAGTGTTTTAAAGATCTAAAGTTTGTTAACTCTAAGGCTCAAAGTGATTTACCTTACCATATTACAGCAGATGATAAAATCTGTTGCATCATCATGTATTTCCAACATAGTTAATGGAGAAAAACACAAGCAAAATTACAGTCAGTGTCCAAATTATGCCTTGCTGGCATATTCATCTTAAAATAAATTATCTGCAACATAGTACTCCTAATATAGAATCTCTCTTGCCTGTAAAATATGCATACTGTTTCGTTGCTACAGTGTGGATTTAAATATCAGATACATAGTTACAGAGTTAATAGCAAGGTAAAAATTACTGTTTCTCTTCATAGCAAAGCTGTATTTTTAAATTAGCCAGGAACAAGGATGACATGAACTACACAACACTTTTACAAAAAGGACTGAGTTCCATCTCAAAACTGCAATACATTTTCTTTCCTCCCTTTGTTCTCAATAACTGCTATTGAAAGTTGATGCTACAACATAATACTAATTAATAATCTTACATAGCACAGATAATTAATTTATGCTAAGATAATGAAACCAAATTTAACCAATAATAAAATAATGAAAATAAATCATAACACAGAGAATTTGATAAAAAGCTCAGAAGGTTGAAGAATCCTTATTAATGATTCCTAGAGTTGGCTTCAGTAGAATCTTTTTAAGACTCAAGTTAATTGATTCCTAAATTAAAGCATTTGGTGAAAGCTAATCCAGTATTTTGGATAGAAAGATTTAGAAAATGATCCTATTTTGAGTCACGTGAAAGAAACAATTATAGACCAGAAAATAGCTGAGAATATAAATTAGGAAACACAGCCATAATAAAAAAAAAATCCCCTCAAAGTAGTAAACAACTTATATTAGCGTCTGTACTGTATTTGTGCATTTGTGAAAGGGAGAAGATGACAATATGCTGTGTGAACTAAGTTTTAGAAGACCAGATATCAAATTTCAGCAGCAATGGGAATTAAAAAAAAAAAAAAAAAAAAAAGAGAGAGAGAGAGAGAGACTTTCTCTCCACTGCAACACAACTCGAGCTTAAAGGAGAGCTATTTTAAGTCACATGACAAATATGGCTTTAGAAGTGGAGAAAACAACTGAGCAAAAAGAGAGTTCAACTAATAGCTCAGTTTTGAAGTCACCATATCCTGGCAACTCCTCCCCCTGCCCCAAGTATTGCATGCTAGTATTCATACTAGACTTCAGAGGATTTTGTTTGGTTTATATTTTGCTTCCTCTCCCATCAGCTCAATATTTATTACCTAAAACCATTCATCTTCATTTCTCATCTGACATCATTCGTCCTCATTCAAGTCTGTAATCCTTTAATATTTCTGATGTGAAAACTGTTTCTTAACTTCATCAAAGTCTTCTTCTGGACTGCCATCTAGTGGTTTTGTTTCAGAAGAGACCAGCTTCTACCTTTTTCCAAGACCAAAAAAGCCTTCAAAACCAACCCACAAAAGCAAAATATTTTCCGCTTTTTCAGTTTTCAAAATGCAAAATTTTCTGTAATTATAGTAATAATAGTTGAAAAAACAATGCTAAAGAATGTAGTGAAAATAGTTGCTAGAGTCAATCCCCTAGGTATACTTACTGTTCTGCTCTTCTACTGTCCTACTCCCCTAATACCTTGATTGTATGAAATATTATATAAAGCTGTTAATTATCATTCATAATGATGTCACAGGTAACCTTACAGGCCTAATGACTATGAAAAAAGAGCTATGACAAAGTATATTATGCAATGTAATGTAGTGCAGTAGCACTACCACAAGCAATTTAATAAACTGCAGATTTTTCTCAGACGGCTATATTCTTATCTTTAAACTTGCAAGAACTTTATTGGTGGTACTGAAAAAATGTTAGTAAAGGCAAACTCGCACAGTATCCTTAGATCTAGTTGTGATATTTTAACTGGGGCTTTTAAGCTTAAATCTTTAAACAAAAGTTTTCTTCAGAAGAGGCAGACACTGTTTCAATTTAAATGTCCGAAAGAACCTAGCCAGATGTGTCAAGAAAGATCCACCATTTTTTTCATATTACTAAGTAGAATTCAAGGTCTGAATCAATAATTTACAAACATATCTATAAAGTATACATGTTTACATACAAAGCCTTTGTAAGACCCCATACTAAAGTCTACCCATTTATATTATGCTAAGCATGAGAACTTACCTGCTAACCAAGAAACCTGTTCCTGCTGTCACTGGCAGGGGTAGTCTTCCTTCTCCCCCTCACCCCTCTAATCTTGGGTCTTCCCAGTGCTTCCCCCGAGGCAGAATTAGGGTTTATGCGGGCAGCAAAGTCAGCCAGTTCAAGTCAGTGATTCAGCTGAAATCTAAAAAACTGTTATTTTTGGTAAGCCTAGTTTTCATTACATCAGATCCTTGATCTCAGTATTTGCATGGTCATAAAGACACTGGCAGCAGCTGGCAAAAACACACAACCGAAGGTGGGAGAGAAGGTGGGATCATACTTTTCTACAACTTTGATCTCTACTTCAAATGGTCTATAATATCGGTATTTGTTAACATAGATTTGCAGATTATAAAAATAACACAGAATGAGGCACAAATACCCTGTTAATAAATTACAAAAGGAAATAAACCAAAGGTTGTACAACAGCTGAAAAGAATCTTCTTAAAACCATTTTTGCAAGAAAAGCAGTCTTTAGATTGCTAAATGTAAGTGGACATTAGGACAAAACATGTTTTTATGAAGTTATTATCTTTAATTTAAAGACAACTGTCAGTAACAATAGCTTAATAATTAACTTTTTTTTACTTTCAAGAGGTTACACCATTTTGAAAATTATATTGGCCATCTCCACTGGTCAGAAGGAGGTTCTTCAACTAGAGGCTCCCATGGTTTCCACTGCATCATTTTTCTTGCCAGGGAAAGCTCATTTTCAGCCTGTTAATAAACATCATACAAAAATTCTTAAATTCTATACAACTGCCAAAGTATTAAATTACCTCTATTTCAGTTCACTACCTTGGTTATGTCACTACCTATCACAGTCAGGGACTACCACAACTTTCATCTATAAATATCAAAAGGAACTGTGTGTTTTGGGGGTTTGTTTTTTTTTTTAAAAACATACTGAATCACCTCCAAATACCCAAACAGTCTGTTCACCTCGTCATTCCCAATGACGGCTTCATGATTTTTTTCCAGTCTGTTTGGATTATCCCCCAATATTATTCAATCATCTTCTGCCCTTTCCACTGATTTAGACTCTGTAAGAAGCAATGTAAGTATACATGGTATGTATGCAAGCATAATACAGTAAACGTGTAATTGTGTTAGGTTTTAATACGGTCATCCCAATCACTGTATGACAGTTCATTTTCAGATATTTTTTCCCCCTGTTTGATTGATCGTTTTGCAGCAAATGAAGATATGGAAAACTGCCAATTGAACAGAAGCTCAGCCAAACTAACAGTGAAAAACACTGCTCCCTTTTGTACCTAACATTAAAATTCATCACTTTACCTGTACAATGACTTCTTCTATGTGACCACTATTCAGTTTGTCCTGCAGTTTTTGTACATCAGTCTCCTGTGTATTCAAATACATAAAAATAAATGTTTAGTTTTACTGAGTAGAAAGCCCAGATAAAGCATTAAAAACAAAAACTTTAAATAGATCACACTCTAGTCTTCCTCAAAACTATCATCTAATTAGTCGGCTTTTGTAATTTTACATTATCAAAGAAATCTCACATACTTTTCTTATTGGAAAAAAATCACTAAACTCTCAATGATAAATACAAAAAACAAGTACTATTTAATGACATCCAAAGAAGCATTAGCAGCTAGGGGCTTTAGGAGGCATCTTGAAAGAAAGTTTTGATCTTAGCATTTTACAAAACAATACACCACATTTCAACTATCACCTTAAACATACAATACCAGTATTGCATAGTTTAATGTACCAAAAAAGTCTTTTAAAATGTCAAAGGCAAGGACTGTGCTAAGATACTACATTGGTAAGAGCACATGCATTTTTTGTGCAAGTGTGTGGAAATTACCACTGTTCTACGGATCATAAAAAAAAAATATGTTTTCTTCTGATTTTCACAGAAAACATCAGTAAGAAATTAACAATTCTTTTTAATATACCATCAAAATATTCCAATCATAACAAAAAAACCCCTCAAGACTTCAACTATTTCTGAACTGATACCTGAAAGTTACATACATTCCTGAAAACCAGTCAGTCGTTTTGAAAATCATTCTTCTCATCCTAAAAATCTTTTCATGTGTAACATTTATGAAACAGCATTGTACTTACCGTTTGCACCAAATTAAATCGCTGTTTTACAATCTGCTCAGTGTATTTCCTATATGCTGCATCTTTGGGAATGTTTTGGAGGACACCAAGGATTTTTGTGTACAGTATTCGCAGGCGCTGAAGTGATCACAAGATACGGTTAAAATATACAACGAGAATTATTTAACTTCTTGTCCTACTTAACCTACTAGCTAACTAGCTATAGACAAAATATAGAGGGTTATTGTACTCAATCCAGAAATGCTGGATTAACAAAATAACTAAGTCTGAACCACAGAACTCTGTCTCAGGTAAGGCTGGCATTTATCAGGCCTGGGAAGTTACCACTGTCAGATTTCTCAAAGAAAAAAAAAAATTGCAGTCTGAAGTACATTTGATGCCAAACGGTAACTATAAAAGCTGTGTTACTAATACAAACATAGTTTTAAAAAATGAGGCAAATTCATATTTCAGTTTCTGAAAAATTACCTGGGAAAGATATAAAGAAGCATATAAGCTACCAAAGCATAATGAGATTGTGGGGGGTTTCGACACTTCTCATGCTGGTGCAAAGTGCTGAGTGACAGACAGATTTAAATTAAACTAAAACCTGAAACTTTTCTTGCTGGATTAAATGTAGTGATAAAGGACACACTGGGGTGAAGAAATTGCAGCTTTTGGGCCCTATGTTGGCTGGGTAACTATCTAACTGAAGAGGAACCAATGTCCTATAGAAACAGTAAGAAATAGAAGCAGAATACTGCAGTCAAAGAAATAAAAAGAATTAAAAACGGGAAATTAAAAGGGGACTGGCACAGAATCTATACTTCAACTAAAGCATTGTTGATTTCTTTAGTCTTGGCTTTAAGCTAAAAAACTAAAATTTAGTAAGTCCACCCAGAAGGTGTCTGACAAGGCTGTAGACTGAGCTGGAATCATTTGTACAAAACAATAATGATTTTTTCAATGGTTCTTTTTGACAGCATTCCTAACTATTGGTGGCAAAAGCATTTTTGAAATAGAATCTTTGCATAGCGGGAAATTTCAAAGCAGAGAAATTAAAGAATTACTGAAGTCTTTTCAAAGCTCATGCCTCCTGAATAAGCAAGCAAGGTATGGCAAACATACTTTCATTACTGAGCCTGAGGAGGTAAAAAGAAAGTACCAAATTGTCTCAAGAACCACTGAAGTATTCCGATCTCAACAGTGCTTGTCATCACAGGGCCCTGATGTGGCTTTGCACCACATGGTTAGCCTCTCTCAGGTAAGACTAGCTTACCCCGTTACTGTAAGTCATTTCAGTACTTGTTGGAAACACAACATAGCAAGGCAGCAAAAATCTGTATGCCTGTGAAGTAGAAATTATGTTTATGAACTGAATTTAAAGAACTATTTGCTTTTGAATTGAAGATGAGAGAAATCAAATATTGGTTCACAAAAGTACTTACGCAACGGAGGGGTTCTGAAATCAGTACATGCTAACAAAAAGCACACGTCCAAAATAACTCTTCCTGATGTGAATTGAACCTTTAAGAACTAATTTTCTTCATTTATCCCTTTGGAACATTTTTACACTTTCACTAATTTGGCACCGCTTTAAGGTACACAGCATACCTACACAGGCAAACACATAACCAAAAGCTTTGATCTCACTGACAATTTCCATTAAATACAGAACAGGACATGTGCCATACCTCATGAGGGTTTTCGGCTACAGCCAATCCTACAAGTCCAGTGGTCTGCATCGAGAGCATAAACATGTTTAATAAAGCTAAGCACCTATTTCCACGCTATCTGATTATTTTGTTTCGGCGCAACATACACCTGGCGGGGCCCATTCCGAGGCACGAGCCCGAGCTTCAGCCTCCCACCACACACACGCGAACCCACAAATTTGCAGTGCTTTGCTCAGCGCACACGAAGGGGAGGGGGCAGCTCACGTTACGGAGCGACTGCTGGAAAGCCTTCCTGGCAGGGTGACCTGCGGCTTACCCGCCTCCTTCATCCCCACGCCACGGGCCCGCCCCCTCCGCTAACG